AGAAATCCATCCAACAAACCTTGGAATCTAAGCATGTCCAACAAAGAATTAGGAAAAGATTCCGGATCAAAAGCTTTACCTTCAAGAACAAGGTAATGGGCATCCACCCATTCCGCTTTTCTTGCCAAACTTGACCTTCTAGGCATGATTGAAGATGACCCAAAGCTCAACAAAAAGGACCCAAGGCTTCTCCTCTTTTTCTTCTTTCTCTCTCGCTTGCTCGGCTTCTCTCTCTCTCTCGGCAACGCAGCTCCGGCGGGCGGCGAACGACAGCAGCGGTCGGCGGCGAACGGTGGTGGTGCGGCAGGTTGGTGGTGTGGCGACGGGGGGGGGGGGGGGGGGGGGGGGGGGGGGGGGGGGAGGGCAAAGAATAGGTTTGGGTTTGAAACTCAAGGGTTACAATAAAACATTTTGGCTTGACTTTCAAGCTACACAAGAAAGGATTTTTTTTTTTTTTTTTTTGGTATGGATTTGCTATTTTCAACTTTCAAAGAATACTTGGAAAAATCTAGAGGATTCTCAAAAGAATAGTTGCAAGAATGACCAAATATAAGGATTGTAGAATTAACCCAAGCACAAATCATTCCAAAGATGGATAGCTAACTTCACAACGAAACTTATATGTCAAACTAAAGAAGTCACTTAACAAGAAGAGTTTACACTTAACTCCAAAGGAATCATTACCAAAGAAAAGCATACCAAGGATTGCCAAGTAACTTAAATAGACAACAACGAAACACAAGATAACACTCAAGACAACGAAGAACACGATACTCGCGAAAAAAAAACAAGGATAGGCTAGGAAAGGATTACCTGCCAGCTCCTCCTCCACCAAACCCTCGGACTCTACCTGCGAACGCGCCATCACAAAGACCCTCCCAGGTGGCCTAGCTCCAATTGCTCCACGACCCGAACTACCTCCCGATGCTCCTCCGGCTGCCGGGGGTGGCGGCAACGCCCTCTGATTGGCTTGCTGGGGACACTCCGCGACTTTGTGGCCACGATCTCCACAACGAAAACACCGAAGCACTTGGCCATGACAATCTTAGCCCACGTACACCTTCCCACAACTTCGGCATGGAAACAACTTAGCTTGATTCCCATGCTCCATCTGGTTAGGTCCTTGAGAAGAGGATGACACGTTCTTGGCCTGAAAACCCGGTCGTGGCTTCTTAAAGGTGGAAGAACCTCCGCTCTCGACCCTCTTCCTGGCTAGCTCATAGGATCCTCTCTGAAGCTGTTGAACGCAATACAGATCGGCGGCACTCACGTAAGCGTCCTTAAGAGAACTCGGCCTACTCACAGTCAAAGCTTTTCGCGCCTCATAGTTCAAACCGGCCACGAATTTCTCGACTTTAGCGAGCTCCGTAGGCACGAGCATCCTAGCAAAACGTGCCAACTCCAAGAACTTCTTGTGGTATTCGACCACAGACAGAGATCCTTGCTGCATGTGGAGAAACTGTTCATACATGGCAGCTCGCATATGTGCTGGGTAAAACCTCTCGCGCATCCTGTCCTTAAGCGCGGACCAGTCGAACTCAGGTTCTTCAAGGTAAGCCGGACCCTCATGTAACACCCCTTAAAAACATGCTATTTAAAAGCCTTAAACATGCAGATAACCGAACTAAACAACAAACACAGCGGAAGACTAAAAGATAGATAGATAGACATAATCCGGAACATGGGGTGTTATACCACGTTCACCTAAACGATGAACGCACCGGCAACATCTGCAATGTTTACATCTAAACCCATTGTCTCAAAGTTCTATATCTAAGCTGGCACACAGGCCACAAAACGAAAGGGAAAAGCTATACTAGCATGCACTAGACCGCGCACTCGTCTAGACATCACCTGAAAGAACACAATAAAACATGGGACGACGCCCGGTCAGCGAATAATGCTGGTAACCCACCAATACATGTGAAATATCATACATAGTTAAGATATAAGTTGTAAAGCCATTTTCGAAACGGAATACATATATATAAGTACAAAACCAAGAGTAATTGTCAACACAAGACTCAACACTCTCAACAAGAACACGGGAACACATCCCAAGACCACAAAAAACAACATGACTGACTTACAAGAAGTCTCAAGGTATGATCTATCACCACACAATAGATCAAAACCCGACATGCATAACACAAAGGAATAAGACTCACCCACGGCAACACATGCCAAGGCAACACTTGCCCATGTGACTACACACATCAAAAGAAGAGAATTCACAACAACGGCTACGCAAGCTCTCGTGATATCACCCATCACGAGTTGATATGCCTTCCTTATGCCCTGTTCCAACCTTATGGCTACCGCCAACCTTGTATCTTCTTGCAACCATTACCTCCAGGACACCTGTACTTCTTAGTCCAACCTTTTCCCTCCTGGGACCGTCGTCCCCCACCAACAAAACACCAACAAAACCACCAATTTCATAGTACACGAGGGTACCGTACACACACACGGCAACACATGCTACCCAAGAAATACGTGAACCTTACACAAAGGTCACAACTCCATAATCACGTCACGGCCACCACGAGAACCGTTGCAATAGCTTGGTGACTAGTGTCTCATACCACTAATCGTGCAATCCAGGTGAAGCCACACACACATCACACCTCAATAGGAATCAATCAACGGATCACAACGAAGATATGAAACCATACTCAATCAATGAATGGATCACAGTCCAACAACAACAACGATGAATAACACAAGTTATCATCACCAAGGAAGGTACAAACAACACACACGCTAGCATTTAAACACCGAACCAGCATGCTTATCAAACGGGTAAACCAAACGTAGTTCCGAAGAACACACAAAACTCATCACAGTTCAACGAAACACAATGTTGAACACTTAGCATGATTCAAGACACCAAAACCTACATGGAATTCTACCATATAATTCTAGACATACGAAACATTAAGAAGACACTCAACTAGTTCCACAAAAGAACATCGGGAAGTCAAAAGACCTAATACCGAGTCAAACGATCACGGGGAACAAATCCCGAACAACATCACCACACGTACTCGCGGTTCCGCCGGCTGGTACAGGTCACCTGAAATGTGTACCCTGCGGGTGGGCGGCGGGTTGGACCCCTACCCGCCGTTCCGCCCCCGGGTACACCCATGTACCACAAATAATCCCTTTGGGGATTTTCAACTCCAAGCTCAAATTCAAGTCCAAAACATGCCAAATCTCACCCAATACAACAAAATGACTTGAATAAAAGGAAATGCCAAGCAATGGCACAAATGAACCCTAAACACAAGCTCTAGATATGCATTTTCACAAGACAATGCATAAACACTCACATTTCATAGCAAAACACATGTAGAATCCAAGAAATCACATATAGGTAAGCAAAATAGATTTTGTAGAGCATGGGTTACCTCTTGTAGACTAAAGACTTCACTTTACCCCTCAATAAGCGCCTCTCAAGGCTCACCTTCCAAACCCACTTCAAGAACATACCAAAAGATCATAAAGATCCTATCTTTAGGAAAAGACACCTAAGATAAAACCAAAAACACAAGATGAACTTAGATCTTACCCTCCTAGATGCCCAAATATATGAAAGGTTGAATCTTGGAAGCAACTCTTGAAGTTTTGGCAAGGCTCCAACTTTGCTTGGAAGAAAAGCTACCCACCTTTTTAGAGAGAAGGTGGAGCTAGATTTTTAGAAAGTGTAAGGAAAGAATGAAGGTGGTCTACTAGGTTAGGTTACAATACTAACACCAAGTGAAAGGTCAAGAATACCCTTAATAACATAAGGAAGTGTAAGGAACAAGGGAACTCCTTACAAAGCTCAAGGTACAACTTTGACTTTGCGGTTGACTAGTCAATTACTAGTCCCCAACTATTAAATTTCAGGAATTTAAGGAATTAAATTACAAATTGAAATAGGATTAATTACTTAATTAATCCCTTAATTGAATTTGGATTTTGGGGTGTCACAGTCTGCTCCCCTCCTGTTTGATACATCATATTATCGCCTTTATAAGGCCCCTCCCACGTACACATATTTACGTGTGTTTGGGTGCCTTTGTTTTCCCTATCTACACCCATATAACCGTCATAAAATCGAGTATCGGTTAAGTCCTTGTGTCTTCTTAGGTTATCCACCATCCTTTAGGGCTTACCGCTGCATGAACCTTAACACCGGGAAAACCTATACTTGTCGTCATGTCCGCTTTAATGAATCTATTTTTCCTTTTGCAACAAATAGTGCCAAAACTCGAGAAGTGCCGCCTGATATACCAAGTGTACCATGGGGCTCCAGTCCCGTTCTCCAAGGTGGTAGCTGTACCATACCAGCACTAGCGCCGCTTGTCCCTCCGTGTGCTCAAACTCACGCACCAAGGAAACGGCATCCCAAGGCCCAACCCCTGGAACAGGGCCATGTCATGCGGCACCCACAATGGCGAGACGCTATGGACCAAGAGTTCAACGTGTTACTGCATAACAACACGTGGCATCTAGTTCCTACTACACCGAACATGAACATTGTAGGGTGCAAATGGTTGTTTCGCACTAAGCGCAAAGCCGATGGTTAGGTAGAGGGCTACAAGGCAAGACTGGTGGCCAAAGGCTTTAACTAGATTGCAGGCGAGGACTTTTTTGAGACGTTTAGCCCATTGGTCAAATCGACCACAGTTCGGATATTGGTGTCATTCGCCATATCACGCGGGTGGACACTCCGTCAGCTGGATGTCCACAACGCTTTCTTGAATGGGCACTTGTCAGAAACTGTCTACATGCGACAGCCTCCGGGATATGAGGATCCCGATCACCTCGATCATGTCTTCCACCTACAGCGTTCCTTATATGGGCTCAAATAGGCCCCACGAGCCTTGTTTCACCGCCTGCATGATTTCTTACTCGTTACAGGGTTTGTTGCCTCCAAAAAAAATGTATCTTTGTTTCACTATTCAGTTGCGGATTCCCGTGTCTTCCTGCTTGTCTATGTGGACGACATCATCATGCTAGGCAATGATGCTGTCTTGGTTGAGTCCCTACTTCAGCGACTAGCGACGGCGTTTGAAATCCGGGATCTTGGGGCACCCACGTTCTTCCTCGGCATAGAAACCATAACTGTTTCGGATGGTATGATTCTCACACAACGATGGTACATGCGAGACATTTTGCAACGGGTAGGCATGACTGACTGCAAGCCGCTAGCCACACCAGCGTCCGTCAGTCAACCAGTGAGCCAGTCCACTGACCCCTTTGACAACCTGACACAGTACAGGCGTCTAGCGGGGGCTCTCCAGTATCTTTCCATCACTCGCCCGGACATATCCTATGCGGTCAACCGCCTATGTCAATTTATGCACAGTCCCACACAGGAGCATTGGGGTCTGCTCAAACGTGTCCTCCACTATATAAAGGGGACGCTCGACTACGGGCTTCGCATCTCTCCATCCAGGTCCTCAGAAATTCATGCTTACTCAGACTCTGACTGGGCCGGATGTCCAGTGGATCGTAAGTCTACCAGCGGTTATGCTGTTTTCATAGGTATCAACCTTGTCTCATGGGTCTCTAGGAAACAGCGTACAGTGGCCCGTTCATCGACCGAAGCTGAATATAAAGGCTTAGCAGACGTCTGTGCGGAAGTGACATGGGTTCTATCGTTGCTGCGAGAGTTGGGCCTCGACTCTTCGGCGCCACCGACTCTATGGTGTGACAACCTCGGAGCTACATACCTGCGCGCCAACCCAGTTTTCCATGCACGCACCAAACATGTCGAGGTGGACTACCACTTTGTCCGGGACAAAGTCTCGTCTGGGGAGTTTCAGGTTCACTTCGTCTCCACCAAGGATCAGCTCTCCGACATTTTTACCAAACCGCTCCCAGCAGCACACTTTGGTGTCCTTCGTACCAAGCTCAATGTGGTGTGCCACCCACCTTGCTCTTGAGGGGGCGTGTTAGACTATGGTTTATTATTATTATTATTATTATTATTATTATTATTATTATTATTATTATTATTATTATTATTATTATTGTTATTATCTGGTGTATATTGTGTAGCTTAGATTAGTCCTAGTCTATAGCCTATTAGTTAGTTCTCTCTCCTGAGAGTATTATTATTGTAATCTGATTCTGTTATTCAATCGATCATCAGTTTCCACATTCATCAATAGATAAAAATTATAATTAATTAAATATTTACATTTATATAATACATTATATTTATTAAATATAAATATTAAATAATGTGCAAGGGTATTTTGGTATTTGTGATATATAAAAACTATTCCCAAGAGCATGTGAATAGCTAATAGCAAGGCCCCCGTAGAAATGACTATTCTCTTTGAAAAGGTAATAGCTCATTCCTAGGAATGTTATTACCATGACGAATTGACCAAACCAAACAATGGAATAGGTCTATTCCAATGAATGTTATTCCATTCCTGACCTATTATATGAACTAAACATGCCAGAATAATATTCCTAATGTCTATTAGTAAAGCAAACAATACAATGCAATTTCTATTCTATTCTTTACATATTCCAATCTCCATGGAATAGTATTCATATTCCCTTAAATATAATTATGTGAACTAAACATATTGTAGGGCTGCTCACTTATCGGTTCATTAAAAAGTATGGAATTATAACTATAAACATTAACGATTAATAAAAGTACATGTACTTTTTATTTTTCCCTCAATTGTGTGCCAAATTGAAATGTAGGACTTGTCTTTTAATTTGTTTAAATTTGATCTCTTGTGACAAAATTCAGTAACGTCATTCTCAATTAAGATTTTATGAAGACTTTCTTGTAATTTCACATTTCTTGCATGCTTTTCCAAGGTTTTAGTATGCACCTATATTAAGAATAAACACGTACAATTAATAGATTTTGTTGATATTGGGTTAATGTTTTAGAAAAATAGAATTCCCAAAATTAAAATGTAATTTGCCAAGACTTTGTGGTCTAATGGCACCCCGTGGGTTGCACTCCCATATGGAAGGGAGTAGGTTTGAACCTCGGTAGAGGCGGCATTGACTCTTTGTGTTTCAAAACTCCTTGCCATCAATTGATGACACCATAAGACTCAACTTGTTCCTTTTGTCCATGGTCAAAATTTTAGTGAATATGTCGAAGGCACGTATTTATGTCCGGCATGTTATAGAAGACTCAACTTGTTCCTTTTCTCCATGGTCAAAATTTTAGTGGATATGTTGAAGGCACGTATTTATGTCCGGCTTCATTTATTAAGGTTCCAGATGATTGTCCTATTGTAGCTATGCTCTAGATGAGTGTTCCATTTTAGCTCGACTCCGAATGTGTGTTCCATTGTAGTTGCGCTTCGGATGAATGTTCCGTTGTAGTTGCGCTTTGGATAAGTGTTCTATATTGTAGATGCAATGATGCATATATAAATTAAGAAGGAAAAGGGCATGTGTGGTGGGCATTCCCGATGGATGTATGAGAGGGCAGGAGTAGCAGGCGGCAGATGTGGGGGAGAGGAGCCGGAGAGGGACGTTTCCTTGCCCTCTTTTAAAGCTTTCCTCCATTCATCTGTTCTTTTCATACTTATTACTCCTACTACAACTACACACACATGTATAAAATATATTATCCATTATTCAATTAATTTAAACAATAAATTTTATATATATATATATATATATATATTAAGGTACACACATACATCAAAAACCCTAAAAAGCTTTCTGCTCAAAGCTGCAGTCTTGTGTCCACAGGTCAATTTGATGCACTCCAATCAAATGACCAAAACATTCCAAAACGTTACCTTAATAGAGACCTCCGCTTCCTTCTCCGCCTCCTTAGGGTTCCAAAATATTGTTCACATGTTTTTTTTTTTTTTTTTTTTCAATATGTTCACCTATTGTGCAGATGTATTATGTATATATATTGTTCTCTTTTATTTATTTTCAATTTATGTAAGAGAATGTTCGTCAGTTTTTAAATTAAAAAAAAAAAAACAAAACGACTAATCTTTATTACTAAAATCATTTGAAAGAACATTACAAAGAAAGATCAGGGAGGAGGGTAGGTTACCTATTCCTTGCAACCTGACTCAGAAACGGACTGCCGTGCTAGAGTATGGGTTGCCCGATTCACAAATCGCTTAACAAAAGAGACAGACACATGGATAAATCAATTAAGCCTATCTTTGATATCTAACACAATCAGATCAAATTAAAAGAGGAATCTCCTAAGGTGAACAACACTACTTTAAAAAAGCATATATTTTGTGAGGTAGCTAGATTACACTAAGAAGACCGTGTGTAACGGACTCGACCAAGAGGATATTAGAAAGAATCAAACTCGAGACCTTCATGTACAAGAATTATACTACACCTACTTGGTCACCTATTTTGAGGCTATGCGTGAACTCTTTTTTAATTCTGTGATTAACCGATTCACATGTATTTAATAAATATAACAAAGCGAAAGCTAAGAGTAATAAGTATGAGGAGTAAAACATAGTTTTTTTTTTTTTTTTTTTTTTTTTTTTTTTTTTTTTTTTAATTCCCTCCATTTCATTTTTGAGTAGTATTGACTCTATTACAATGTAATATCTGTTCATAATTACTTTCTCAACCAACTAAAGCAAAGAGGCAATATCGCTCTAGTTTGGCAGTGTTAGCAATATTATATTTATGTTACATATTTATGTTACACTTGTTTAATAATGTAATAGGTTAGGACTCTGTGGCTTTCCTATTAGATAGGGATACTATACGGTAGGTTGTTTTAGCTATTAGTATTGTATTCCTATTCCAGTGTAACTGAATAACATTATCGATTGTCTCATCGGCAGAGCTTATTTAGAAGCTTATAACTTATTTGAAGTTACTAATAAGCTATAAGCTCTGTTTCATAATATTTCCAAAATAAGCTAGTAGCTTATTTTGAAAGGTTACCTTAGATAGTGTGTAGGGATGGCAATTGAACCCGCCCCCGATGGGGAAAATCGTTCCCCGCCCCGACGGGGATGGGTTCGGGGATTTATTTCGGGGAACGGGGCCGGGGATGGGGGGAATTTTCCAATCCCCGCCGGGGACGGGGACGGGGACGGGGAGGGCATTCCCCGCCCCGGCCCCGACCCCGATCCCCGATCCCCGCCCCGTCCCCGAATCCCTAACTAATAATATTAATATTATATATAAATTAATATCTCTCTTGTATATATTTAATCATATTCTTGAATTTCCATGTAATTAGTATTCTAGTTTAGGTACATACATTTTATGTTCATTGTTACCGTAATACCGTACATATATCTTGTATAAATAGGCTATGTTTATTTGTTTAAATTATTATTGAACATCAATGTATTATATTCTTCATTCTCTATCTCTGCATATTCTCATGGTATTAGTAGATGATTTTTTTTTTCATCTTTGCGATTTAAGATTTTTCCTTAACAAAATTGTGTTTCTCTAGTTTTGTTAAGAATGCATATATTATATTATGTGTGTTTTTTAAAATAAAAAAAAAAAAAAAAAAGTAAGCACGAATCAAAACGGGGCGGGGATTCCCCGTCCCCGAAAAATCCCTGCGGGGACGGGGATGGGGAATAATTCCCCATCCCCGCCGGGGAACGGGGCGGGGACGGGGAATGGGGGGACATTTCGGGGACGGGGACGGGGACCCCATTCCCCGCCCCCGCCCCGCCCCGTTGCCATCCCTAATAGTGTGAGTTTCAAAAGAACACGTAGCTTCCTAAGTTTTTTATTTATTTTTTATTTATTTATTTTTTTTTATTTTATACTTATTATTTTAAATAAATAACATCTTATACCACTCTCAATTAAAATCCTTTAGGGTTTTTCTCTTCTCTTGTACTTTTGTCCATCCTCTCACAATTATTATTATTATTATTATTATTATTATTATTATTATTATTATTATTATTATTATTATTATTATTATTATTGTTATTCATCCTCTCCCAATTATTTGTTAATATGTACAGTTTAGTGTGGAGACCCAAATTGATGTTATTATTACCACATTTGCACTACGTAATTATATTTGGAAAAATTCACAAAATGGCATGCATGATGTTTAATATGCTTAAGCATGATCTAGATTACGTACTGCGCAATAAACTTCAAGATTCAAGTAATAATAAAGAGATATTTTTTTTAAAAAAAAAATAATAAACAATAATGAAATACTAAAAACAAAAGTCTAACACAATGATGGTATACATGTTACGGAGTGACTATTTGTAAGTAATTTTAAGAAACATTGTTGATTCATTCTACAGGTTTTTATTATATTTTTACCTGGTCAAGGAATAAACAGTAAAAAGAGAATTTAGTAATCATATAAAACACAGCAGGCCAGGAAGACATTGCAAAAAATTCTAACTGAATATATTAAATATTTGTTGTATGCTAGGGTTATGAGGTTGATTAAAATACAATCTCCTCTAATTATTTTTATATTTATAATTTGTCCAGTCATCACCTATAATTATATATGAGTGGAGGTCAAACTTTTTGTTTTTTTAAATTAAAAGAAAAACAAAAAATCACAAACATAAGAATTTTCTAATATACAATAATAATGTCTTACTTTCAAAAGAAAATTTTCTTAGTTAGGGTTTGATGGAGGCATAGAGCTAGAGGCCAAGTCCAAAATTTTGTCATTGAAACGTTGGGCTGACTACTACAACAAGTATAAAGAAATACAATTGTTCATTTTTGTCATAATCAAACGTCTACTACTAGCCAAAAGTTATAGTGACCTTCCAAGCCTCTGCCAAACAATTCCCTCACAACACCTATATATCAGCCTCAAATGTTCTTAAGGTCAAGTGTGTTTACTACTAGACCAAAAGGTATAACTAATAACAAAGATATAACTTCATTTCCTTATACTTGAGTTGCAATTATTGCAATGTTTCAATGATAAGAGGTTGGACTT